TAACTCCCACTTTCGTGAGCGTGGATGTAGAAAACTACACCTAGCATCTTCAGAATCGACCTGAGGTGTCAGACCGTCTCTTCGTCAGCCAGGTCAAGGCAAATGGTTGGGTGACACTGCTTGCGCCGATTGGCCTTAGGTCTACTGCCAAGGCCTTAAAGCCTGAGCATAGGTAAATCGCAATCAGTGACGTTGAGGGCTTCTCTTGGCGTCATTTGCCATGTGGTGCTGCGAGTGAACGCTCTGGCGCATAGGCGCAAACCTTTCGAACGTCTACCCCCAGGCTTGGCTCCATCACACCCTGCAAGATCGTAGTTGAAGCACAGCGCGTCGCCTTCAGCAGTGGTAATTCTAATCTGCCCATGTGGCCTTGAAAAGCCTTTGGAGCCCCGGCCGGACTTGCCGGACCCTTTGCCTCGGCCTCAAAGGTTGCGAATTTGACCCTGCAGATTGTCTATGGTCGTCTGTAGCTTGCTCACTTCACCATCTGCCACCTTCAACTTCTTGCTGGCGGGAACATTTTCTTCATCATCTCCCGGTTTCCGCTTGGCAGCCGATGCTGCTGGAAGAGGTGAAAGCCGCAGCCTAATCTGTGGAGAAGTAATCGCCTTCTCCAACACTGAAACACCTCCTGACATCAGCAGTCTGGATTCGTTCAACGCTCACCTTCTTGTAGCTGTCTATGGGAACCGACGCATATAGGCCTCCAACAAGATCCTGGACCAGCGCTCCATCTTGTCATAGTCGACGAGTCTAGCTTGGTCCAGTGCCAAGCTTCGCCTTTGGAGTGCATACAGTGATGGGCCCCTCAACTTAAAGAAGTTATAACTATGTTACCAGAGTTATAAATGAGTTATAAGCAAGTTATTGGACTTAGGTATTAGGAAGTTATAACTAAGTTGTAAGTAAGTTATAACTTCTGTAACTTGTTAGTTGCTACGCAAAAATGGTTTTCAATTGTTTTCAAAAAACCTGTAATTGTTGGCTCCAGAACTGGTATTTGTAGTTTTTTTGGTATGGAAGAACACATTTCCAGGCCCCACAGCCCACATAGACGCGCGCAATTTTCTAGCATGGGTTACAATAGATTTGGTTTGTTGTTCTTTTTCTTCGAGGTGGTCCTCGGTCTTTTTTTTGAGCGAGGTTGTCCTCGCCATTTGTTCTAGTCGATGCGCGCGATATCAATGTTGATTGTGACAATATGTTTAAAACGCACACTCGCATGAATATATGTGAAACTTTGGGCGGGCGACCGCCAACATGCTTGTGACAAATGTCTATACCGATGATCATGTGTTTCAAAGTGTGACAAGAACGGAAGACTGTTTCGTTTTGTCTTTATAAAAGTCTACGTTCATGTGTGACAATCCAGCAGGCTACCGCTGCGTAAAGAGCGCGCGCTTTGTCACACCAAACACAAAACAGCGAGCGCGTCCACGTGCCACCAAACAGGCTGACGGAGCATCAACAAATCTTTCACGTTGATAGACTCTCTGCGGTCTGTGCGAACGAAAGACCGAGTGAACAGAGTGCTGGGTGCAGTTTCTTGCAGTGGTTCCAAGATGCAAAATACAGTGTCCTGTTCCTCAGCAAAGAGATGAACCCAAGCTGCGCGCGCATCAAAGAAAATGATGTCATCCGACTGCAACAACATTTGTTGTAGATGGAAGGCATTGCTGACGCGCACACGTTTCAAACCTGTAGCCTCTTCGACTTTCTGAGGGCTGTGAATGTTTCCTGCAAGTCGGTTGGTCCATGGATGTTCCTGCATATTCCACGCTTGGCGATGGAGCAGCCTCGGTAGAATGTGCTTGCTCGACTTTCCAGAACGAGCTTCAAACAAACCAGCCATATCGTCAGCAAGGCAAGCTTTGTAAGCTTTGTGTCTGGACTCGCAGGGCCAGCAATCAGCGTATCCGAGGCAGGCATATTGCTGTGGGAGGTGAAGCCTAAAGTGACGCTTGGGTCTTTCTTGTCCCTCGTAATGCCTCATGAAAGCACGCTGGTGCTTTCTTTGGGCACGTTCAGGAAGATGGATCTGAGCTTCATCGCATCGGGGATCTGCTTGGAACTGCTTGAGTCATCCCTCAAATCCCGCAGAACACAAAGTGCGGCCAGCATGGCCTGAGTTTGCTCTGATGGACTTCGCAAGCCCAATTGCACAAGGTGGCGAAGCACCACATCTAAGGCAACCAGGGACCCAGGAGCCTCCAAAACTGACGTCCACGTCTTCTTGTTGATGTAAAGCGGGAAGGAGCACCAATCCTGCATTGCCAGGCGCCCACTCTTTGCGGGCTGGTGGGGGTGACCTTTGTTGGCATCAGCAGCGCCCGTCATCTTACTTACTTCGCGGCAAAGTACCGGCGCGAAAATCACACCTATATACATTGAGCATCCACGAAGACCCCGCGAGCGAAAACGAACGGAGCAGGAATATGTGCAGCGGGACCACCGCCACAACTGCGACTGATTCAGGGAACACATCCACAATGCACAAACAGCAACCGAAAGGAAACATGAAAACTGTTACACGTATAAACAGTATATGATACTGCAAAAGGGCAATGCCATGATGTGTGTACATAGCAATGCGCAATACAGCGTTTGAAGATGTAATACGCACTACCAGCCTGGAGTCGATTAACTAAAATCCAAATGATTTTTGTCTAAAAAACTGATCGAAAACTAAAAAACATTGATTTTTCCAAATGTGTTCAATGGTTTCTTAAAGCCTTTAAAAACAATAACAAATTTTGTAAGTTCTGTAACTTGTTTGTAAGTTCTGGGGCCATACCAGGCTAACTAACTTACAAGTTCCATAAATATTTATATCTTAGTTATAACTCTATAAGGACCTATCAGAAGTTAGCCAAGTTAAGGCATGTTATAACATAGGTTACACTAGCTTATAACATATGTTAGTAAACTTATAACCTATGTTAACTTGAGGGGCCCATCACTGTATTCAAAAAACAAATCGCAACTCGCCCGGGATTGGCTTCTTGAAGCTCTTGGCTCTTGGACATCCCAAGACTTCCATCGCCTCACACGGGACATTCTGGGTTTCAACAGATCCCCGTGCAAGCTCTGCAAGCTCCTGTGCCAAGAAATTAGAAAGAGCAAAACATACAGCGTACATCATGCAATTTTCAGCCCATTGCTGAACAACTTTTCCCTCTCATGACGCCCCAAAGCAATGCTTGCACTTTGGATATGCCAGTTGGGTGGCCGCCGGAAACACGTAATATGCTGCTGACAGCAGACGACCGCGCCCGGTCTTATCACTATGGTCATTATGGCCATAGTGCAACATCCTTGTCCTGGCGTGACGGTTCGTGTCAGAAAGGTTGGATGGGCCCTTCATCTTCCCTTTCTCGTTTACTGCAGCCAGGATTGCATGGCCTCGTTCTTGATCCGCCTCTTCTGAAGAAGATGCGGGCGAGGAGTTCGGGGAATCATCGGGGCTACCGCTGGAGCCTCACCTCTTCAGGCGAGTTGACTGCTCCAACATTCGGGTGTCTCAAAGCATAGTCCTGATCCTCAGTGAGATAGAGCGTTGTCCCAATCCTGGGCATTCCACTTGGTCAGCCTGGCATCGGCGGATTGTTTCTCCTTACATCTCCTTACCAGAGTCAAACACAGCGTCAGACTGCGTTTCCATGGCCGCATTGTGCACCGTGAGCCCCATGGTCTGCTCAAAGATCTCTTCCATGGAGATTTGATGAGATTTGAATGTCCGCCCCAGGGAACTGCAAGTCTCAAGCCATCACCCACAAACTTTCCCTCATGGATATCCGTCATCATAGCTACCATCCAACGTATGGGGCTGCTCAATGCATCCCTCGTGTAGTTGATAGCTGACCCGTGTTCCCTGTTGACATGGTATCCCAGAAGCTCACTTGTCTCCAGGTTGATGTATCAGCATAGTGGTGTTCAACGAGAACCCCTTGGCCAAAAGAGCTCTTAGTCGGTCAGTCAGCTCTGGGCACTTCATAGGAACTTGGACTTCGCAGCCTAGGCCAAAAAATCATGGGGCAAGGACAAACTCTAAGTCGTTGCTTCGACTCTCAAGGCTCGGGACATTGTGCAACCCCAACTCCACCCTTGCATCCAAAAATTCCGATAGCCACTGCTTCCCCAGCAGACCAAAAGCCGGCGCTATCATAGGCAGAAAAGCAGATGCCTTCTCCTTGGACCTCGAAGTCTTAGTCCTCGAAAGTGATCCTTCGAAGTACCTTCCTACCCCTCCAGCATGTCTCAGTCGGTTAAAAATGCCAGCTGGCTGTCATCCTATCGAAGGCACACCTCATTCCGAAGCGTGCAATTGCCAACCAGCAAATCATCACTGGGCTGAGTGCGCGTGTACTCGATCTCCGTCTCTTGTTTCTCGCTTCCGGCGCCAAAAGGCGTGAAGGACTTTCTCGGCCTTCTTCTTCTGCAAGAACTGGCTGAGCTTCCTTCTCTTCACTGGTTGCTTCTGCGATGGGCTCTGGGCTCTCATTTTTGCCTTGACTGCAGCACACGCTGCTTCACCAGACTGGACCAAACTGGGAAGATTTTGCGCGCGGTCCTCTCTTCAGTAGCTTGAGCGAGGTCGCATACTGGAAGGAAGGCGCTGTCAAGGATCCCCACAATCTCAGCTTCCTTACTCAACGGAGTTGCTCCTCCATTCGCCCAACCGATCAGTTGGTGAAAAACGTGGCAGATTATTCACTCCCCACCGACTTCAACCCACTTAATTTTACACTTAAAGCAAATTCTGGGAGGCTCCACGTCTCTCATTCAAGTCGTCTTCGAGCCCAATGCTGCCGCGGGAGTGAACGTTTTATTCCGCGTTCACCCTTTTACTTGGACATTAAACCGTACATTTCATTGTCATTACCTGTTTCATTTCTTGTTCAGCGCTTTCCGTGTTGAGGGAACTTGCTGTAGATAGTGGAAGGACTTTTTTCACGTCGCCTGACAGGTGTGCTTCCTAAACCCCTTTTCAGCCAAGGATCAAACTTTTTGTTTGCAGCGCGTGGTGGTACAGGTTGTCTCTTTGGAAACTGAGTCTGGACCTCATGAGGCAGAAGGACAGAATATCACTTGCTGCGCAAACACGTGTGTTCAAATTTGGAAAGGCAAAAGCAACGTGTTCAGTACAGCAAAAATCTACTTGACGCCAGTCAGCAAGAGTTGAAATGAGGCCAGTCTCGTCCCCTTAGCCCGCAGCTAAGATTCTGTAGACCCCGATATCCACAAGTGGACATCAGCATACCATGAAATACAAGTCTTGACCAAGGCACTATTGTGCTTGAGGGCTTCCACGTTGGCCTGAAAAAGACATCATAATGACAAATAGTATTGCTTTTCACATAGTTCTTTGGTGCTCCTTTTGATGCTAGTTGTGCTTTATATTGTTTTACCGTCTGTAAAGTTTGCTTGCGTCTGTTCCATTTTCAAAGCGCTGATGACCTGAGGGTGGATATGACATGCGGGGACAAGGAAGTAATCACTTGAGAATGGCCAGTCTTCAATTACTACCAAAGTTTCCAATGTCCATCTTGAACGCACCCGCAACACAGACACCCCAATCTTCAGAAAATGTTTGTAATTTGTTGAAGCGCAAAATAACGGCAGAAATACAAACGCTTGGGTAGGGCCACCCCACCGGCACACCATAGCAACCCCGCACTCCCTTCCAAAAATTGCCCTTGGCCAGGGACAGTGTATTCCACAAGGGGAGGGTTGGGGGTCGGCCTAACTTTGGTACCTTTGATTGAATTGTCAATTCTTAGCCGCCTTCTCACAATCAATCCTTCCCGGTTCCTCCTTTCGAGGTAAACAAAACTCAGTTCCAAGGATTGTGTGACTTTTTAAAATCCTTTTTCAAATTCAAATAAAATTCTTCCAGTCAGGTAGCATGAACGCTACACCACCATACGGAGGCAGGAAACAACTCATGTCATGCATCACCGATGCCCGGCTGTAGCATTGATTTGTTTTGGGTGTCAAGGTTGTTGGGAAGTTCGGTCGTTGTTGATGACGCATCCTTATGCGTCGTATCGAATGCATTGTCTTCAAACTTGAGATGCTGCGTTCGAGTGGCTTGTGATCAGTTTCGCTGGTTGGCACTGGAACGCTCGGATCACAAACTCCGCAAAGAAACATCCTTAGGATCAAGATTTCAGACCCTTGTACAGTGATGGCATGTGTCTCAAAACTGCTTTTATACAACGCAACAAAAATGAACGAACTGAATAGCGCATAGAGTCTGGTCCGAATCACAAAATCCTCTTGAAAGCCCAGCAGAGCCCAAGCGCGCAGTGTAGATACCAACTCCGTGAGCAGATCCGTTCTTCACAGTATGTCCTCTGCTAAGAGCCATTGACGACACTGACACAACACCTTGAAACCCTAGAAACAAAACGACTGAAAGTTCATGGGGCCTCCCATCTGGGGCCCCAGAATAGTTTTCTAGTATTCAGGGGTGGTGGACCTACACCTGGCCAAAAATTATTCCATATGTGAACACCTTTCAGGAATAAAATTTACAGCATTTTACAGCCATGTCTGCCTTGCAGTCTATAAGTGATCTTACACGCGTTCCAAAACACAGGTTCAGCTTCACTACAGTGACCTTCTGCGTTTCGATTCCTCCTCGTTTCCGGTCGCGTCAAGTGATCCAACGCGCGGCAAACCTTTTCAGATCAGCAACCCCCCACGTGACTTCCAGGACGGCGAGCCCACGCCAGAAGCCCGACCCAGAAACCAAACTTGGTAGCAAGCACAGAGCAGGAACCGTCAGATCAGGGGTGCCAGGTCATAGGCGACCTAACCAAATCTTTGTTGTGGACTCCGAAAACTGGTCTCACAAGAAAAGAGAGCTGTCAAATCTGTCGAACTGTCAAAAACGCTCCTTGTGTAGGGGTGATCACATCAAAGCCGCCCTAGACTTAAATCCGGAATAATTTACGACGGGAGGGCCCATGAAAGTTCTTTCAAGCACTGACAGCCACAGGCAACGCCTTTCATTTTCTTCACTTGGCCCGAAAAGGCAGCCCAGGGGCCCATTGGGATTTATTTGGACGTTGGAGAAGTTCAGTCCTTAAAGAGGGTGGCCTCATGGGGCAAACCGAGCTCCGGGCGGCAGTGTTCCCCACCAGACCTCAACTGCCAGCTCCGGACGGCAGCGTTCCCTGCCGGACCTCAACCGCCAGCTCCGGATGGCAGTGTTCCCCGCCAGACCTTGGCTGGCAGTGTTCCCCCGCCGCACATCAACCGCTAGCGTCGGCTGGCAGTGTTCCCCGCCGGACCTCAACCGCGAGCGCCGCTCAGCAGTGTTCCCCGCCGGACCTCGGCTGGCAGTGTTCCCCGCCGGACATCAACCGCTATAGCGTCGGCTGGCAGTGTTCCCCGCCGCACCTCAACCGCGAGCGCCGCTCAGCAGTGTTCCCCGCCGGACCTGCGCCGCCAGCTCACAAATACATAGTCACAAACACACAGTCACAAACACAACCACAAGCACAGTCAGAAACCCAAACACACAGTCACAAACACACAGCCACAAGCACAACTACAAACACATCCACAAACACACAACCACAACCACAAATGAACGGAGAATTTAGGCTCAGTCCCAAAGGTTAGATTCAAAGTTTAGGCACACTTTTAGCTCACGCTTGAAGTAAGCAAGTAAACCCAAATGAACACAAACGTGATCCCAAACGGGTGCAGTGAAACATACATCTATATACAACTATGGCGTGTACATGTAACTGGCGCTACATCTGATCACGCCTCCCGAGTTTAACTTTTCTCAGAAGTTAAGCGAGTCAGGGTTAGCACATGAGTGAATTAGCTCGTAGCCCTTCAGTACATCTTGGTCTTGAAGAAGTACCTACTCTAGCTCAAGCCGTTCAAGCTCTCAGTGTTAGTTCACGTTCACCTTCCAGGTAGTGGAAGTTCATGCCTTTCATGGCTGTAGTCATTTTCTCCTCGGTGACAGCTTTCGTTATAGCACGTCGGCCAACATTCAGTCGGCGCCTTCTTTCTTGAGACGAAACTCTTTCTTTGCTGTACGCTCTTGTACCCAGTGGTACTGAGTGTCAACATGTTTGGCTCGTCCCAAACCTCGACGGTTTCCCATGGCTGCCAGCGGAAGCGTCCATTGTCACCTCTTTGCTGGGAAACAATCCCCAGTCAACTTTGGCAGTTGATGCAACTCCAAGCATCTGACATGCTCCAGAAACAAGTCCATAATACTCGGATTCACCACTCCTAAGGGAGACAACTCCTTGGCCTTTGCTGTAGGTAGTGAGACAACATTTGTTGGCCACGAGCACGCCTCCTGACACACTCTTTCGTGTCCGTTGAAGGGGTTGCAGGCGCTCTGATTTGGAAACAGCTGCGCAACTCTTGGTCGATACCTGACATATCTGGCCAATCGTTTCAGCGTGTTCCAGTGCCTCGATGTTGGATTTTGTAGACCCTGTGCCAACGAGCGCGTTGCAGTTTGCAGATCAGGTTGATCTTGCGCCAAGTGCGCGGTTCTCATAGCAATAGATCTCTACATCGTTGCATCTTCGGCGCTCAGCGGAACTTCTTCGTGTTGGAGTTCCTCTTGACTTGGCTTGGCCAATGGTGTCTTGACCTTGCCTGGTTGACCAGTGCCCAACCACTTGATGATCAACTCTGCGCGTCTTGGATCTGGTTCCCACCAAATGCCTGCCTTTGACCAAGTGATGATGCGATTCAACGCTCTGATCTGTTGACTGGCTTTTGGTGATCCAGGTGGACCGAGAATGCCTCGTTCCACAACTTGCCATTCTTTGACTGCTGAGGTGTGAAACCATGCATTGATATCTTCAAAACTTCCTACTGTAGTGAAATCATTTCTATGCACTTCTGCTCGAAGTTCTCTGGCTGGATGGTAGTAAATACATGGGTTTGACTTATAAAAACCCTAACTTCTTCATGAACTCTGCGATGGTCAGTTCCCAGTTCATGGGCGCATCTCTGGCGCCATACAGGCTCCTGACCAATCTTCCAACTACATCTCCATCTTCTGGCTTCGTGCCTTCAGATGGGATCTCAACATAAAGTTCTCTTGTTGCCTTGGAGTCGAAATGAGCTCTTTTCAGGTCTAAAAATTCTAGGAAAGATTGTCTTGTCTTTCTTCTCTCGCCTTTCTCCAATGGAAGGCTGTCGCTGACTGCAATGGTGAGCAGTAGCTTCAAAGCTGCTAAGCTCGGCATGGCTGCGAAAAATTCGTCAAAACCTGAGCCTCTTTTGATTTCTTGTGCCACCAATCTACGTAGAGAGGATTGGTTTCATCTTGCTTGTTCACATCAACCCATCGAGTTCCAATGATTTTGGTTCCTTTTGGAACTTTGCTTCTTGGGATCTTCTCCCAGACTCCCATAGATTCGACAATTTATGTCGATCTCATCTTTTCTGGCCTTCTCTACCTTCTCAGGTAAGAGTTCTTTTCCACTGATGTCGTCATAGTACCACCAGTCTTTTGCCTCTTCTGCCATTTCTTCTGGCAGTGGGATCTTCTCTTCACACACTGGTTTCTCTGGGTCGATGCTAGATAGCACTCTTTCTTTGTCTTCTAGGATTAGACTTTCTAGAGCTATCTCAATACTTTGGATGTCTCTTGTTCTCTCGGCTTCATCTTCATGTTCTCCTTCTGCTTTTCTCTTCTTGTCTCTATCTACTCTGGTCTTTGCTGTTGGTGATCCTGCTGGTTCATGTTGTTCTTCGTGTTCTCTCTTTTCTCCATGTGGTTCAGGCTGGTGTGGTCTGCAAATTCCTGACGCTGATGCGGATGCTGTGCCTGGTGTCGGTGGGGCTGCAGCTGGTTCGTACCACAGTTCTGTCACGATGTCCATCTTGTGAGGTAACGCTGCATTGAGTATCTCTGGTGGAAGGTCAGTTGTCATGACTGCACTTTCAATGATTGCATTGTTTGCATGGTTTCTTGTGACTCGGTGCCAGACGGTAGACCAGTCACAGCCTCCTCACATTGTGGTTTCAAAACAATGAGCGTCAATGTCAAGTCGCGCGAATACCCGACATGAATCGGGAACTCCCGATGGTCTCTTGTTTTGATATCCATGGAGGATTTGAGGTCTCTTGCCACTGACTGGTTGTGGCATGCCAGTGACTGCCTCTCCTACTCGACTTTCATGTCTTGTTACTCTTGGATTCTCTTCTTCTTCTTCACCTCTGATGCGCTCTTCAAGTCTGTCTCGACGCCTGTTGGTGTGTTGGACGCCTGAAGTTCTTTTGCCAATCTGTGTGGCATCACAAGCTGGGCAACCTGCTGTATACCCAAACTTCTCCAGGTCTTCCTTGGTGATGTAAAGCATTTTCAGCTTTCTTTTCTTGTCATCGATTGCCGGTGGCTGGACTAAAGCTTCACCACTTGGACTGGCAATGCATGATTGGTTCTGTTGGGGCTGCAATCGCTGGTTCTTCGCGAATTGCTTGAGGGTCCCAGCGAATGCCAGTGATCGACTTCAGCAATGCTGAGTCATATCGATCTTCTTCGGGCTTCCTTCGGATGGACTGCACGGTGTAAATCCAGTGGCTGTGCCTACTATTTTCTCTGTGGTGCTGTCTTTCACTCCTAGAAAAATATCCTTAGTCCATTGGGCCTCGAACTTGTGACCTCTCTTCAGGTATTCCATTGCCTCACCAAAAGGTGGAATGGCTACCTTCCATTCACGTCCACGAAGTCTTGAGTATGGCGTCTTTCCGTCTTGGAGTTCGGTCGATCGGAAAAACAAATTGTAGACCGTGGATGCATGTTCAACCAACCATGTAAAAATCGTAGGTGAATCGTCTGGAAGCTTTTCACCATAGTTCGACTTGAGTGCGGCTCGAAGAGTCCTTGCTTGCCCTTCCAAGGTTTGAGCTGCTCGTTCAATTTCTCCCTTGGATTCCTTGACTCCCCTTCGGGCTCTTCTCGATGATCAGGGTTCCTTCAAACCCGTTCTTTACTGCCTCAACGACGGATGTGAGAGCAGGTTCAGGATCATGTCGACTGATCAGTTTGGAATACCCTAGTTTCTTGATATCATTCAGGAGTACCTTGGATTCATATGGTCCTTTTGTCACACCTTTGTAGGGTAACGCGTGGGCAAAAAGATGTTTCGTCCATCGATCTCTGACAACTAGGATTGGGGCATGCGTCTTCTCATCCATGACTACGTCATCAGTTCATGAATTCATGAAACAGTAATCTACAGTCACTACTGGTGTGGTTTCATCGGAATGATCCACCCGCTTGCGTGGATTGGCTTTGGCCTTATCTCTAACGCAGGCCTCACACCACGAACGAAAAGGAAAACGTGAAACTGAAT